AGGGACTAAGGAGGCTTCAGTTTGGGGCTGAGGTGTGGGTGTGTCTAGCTGTGAACTGTGGCCAGGCTGCAGTCAAGGGCAGATGCTGAGTGCAGAGCTGGGATCTGAGCAGGACCTGGTGGCCCACTCATGCCACCATCTGTGCAGCCCACTGTGTCTCCCAAATTGTTTGGGGACCTCCAGTTGTAGGACAATAGAAAAGGGACTAAGGAGGCTTCAGTTTGGGGCTGAGGTGTGGGTGTGTCTAGCTGTGAACTGTGGCCAGGCTGCAGTCAAGGGCAGATGCTGAGTGCAGAGCTGGGATCTGAGCAGGACCTGGTGGCCCACTCATGCCACCATCTGTGCAGCCCACTGTGTCTCCCAAATTGTTTGGGGACCTCCAGTTGTAGGACAATAGAAACATGGAACTGAAAGTTAACTTTAAAAAGTCAGTGTTTCAGGAAATTCATGTTACTAATAAAGAAGAAATTACAACAGAATACGGAAGTATGTAATAATCTGTGCCTTTCTAAACATTTAGAAACTTCTTGAACGTACTCGTGCCAGGCGAGAGAACTTACAGAAGAAAATGGCTGAGCGACCTACAGCAGGGATGAGGCCCACAATGCAGACAAAGAGAACTAGAGAACCTTTGTCAGAAACGAATAACCAATCACCTTTGCCTGATGAAGAAGGTATCTTGCATCAGAGTGGTGCAAAAATAAAAAACCTCTTAAATCATATGGCTCATTGTTCCTATGTGAAAATTCCCATTCATTTCTTTTCTTGCATACTACTTTGACTAAAAAATGCTACTTTTTTAGCATCAAAGTTTAACCCTCTTCTTTCAAAACTTAACAGTAAGAGATGCTATTGTTTGCCTTTTCCATTGGGACCAAAATGTGTCTAGCCTTTAAGCTGGTGGCAAATGTCTTACAAATCACTAATTTAGTTATTTAGACCTCACTTAATAGTTTAAACAAATCATTGCCATGAAAGTGACTCTTCTTAGTAATACGGAAACACTTTGTCCCTTTAAACTCTACATTCTTTAATCAAGAATTGATGATGGATGTAAAAATTGGGCACCTGTTTTCCCCATTGCTTTTATGTAAAAGTTTGATTTTTAAAAAAGACACAATGGTGAGCTTAAAAACTAAAAAGCTCTTTCAGCAAGGCGATATAACTTCAGTACTTTTAACTTCAGGCTGTGAAGATGATAGCTGCTAATTGACTGTGGTTCATATATTTTTAACTTTTTACAGTGCAACCTAGTACAAAGCCATCCCCATCAAAAAGGCTCTGTTCTGCCAGCATGGAGGGTCCAGTTTCTAGCTCAGAGAATAGACAACCAGTTAATTCAACTTCCATGAAGTATCTTCCTCCTGAGATGACTGCACAGCCACAAGCAACTGGAAATAACAGGGCTCCCTCAGTTCAGCCTGTTCCAGTGCTTGTTAAGAAGGAAGAACAGAACTTGAAAACTGAAGTACCTGAAGCCCTTACAGTCAAAACACGTATGCAGAAATTGGCACAACAACGACGCTGCTGGGATGATAATGGTATGTTCTGCTTGGTATAATTTAAAAATTAAACCATTTGTTGTGACAGTGGTGTAAACAAACACAACAGACTTAGTGATTGTTCCTAATACAGGATTTATTTCAAGTCCTGACTTTTATATATTTTTTTCGTAATGTTATGAATATCGTGGGAAAAGAAACAGGTGCCCAAAAGAATGGGAAATCATTTGGAATACGCCTTCTGTACAATGTATCATTCTTCTGTTTTTTATTTTTTTTACATCATTGTAAAATTGGTGTAATCAGTTTTTAGAAATCTTACATTTCTTGGGATTTTGTGAAATAATCTGCCAACATCTTGGCAAAATAACCTAACTAGTAACAGTTGTAAATGAGCTGAATGTGGACTTTATAACTACTTTTAAAAATAAACACACACAGTAACTGGTGCAAAAGGTTGACTCTTCCTAGTGTCCTAATATTTCAAAAAGTTCATGTAGCTCTTATCTTAATTTTCAGATCCATCTGAAAGTCCTCCCCTTCTGTCAAAAGAACGGATTGTTTCCCCACCCAAACAGCCATCTCTGCAAAGTGATACCCCAATTGGGAGAAGAGGCCGTTTAGCTAACCTTGCTGCTACAATTGGTTCCTGGGAAAATGATCTAAGTCATCCATCTGCAAAGCAAAACAATACACAAGAACAGCCTGGCACTACTTGTTTATCCAAATTGTCCACTACAAGTGAAGCATCTGCTCGAATCAATAGTGGCAGTGTAAAGCAGGAAGCGGCATCCTGTTCTCAAAGAATTATTGAGGTGTCTGTAAATAAACCAGCAACCTCTGAAATATTGGTGAGTGATCAAATTTAACTAACCTGATGTGGGTTTTGGTTTTTTTGTGAGATGGATGTTATCCCATCCATGTCTAATCTGTATGTTAGTGTACAAGTAATCATAGCAGTTTTAAAAAAGTAATGCTAATTATAATTTCACTAATCATCTGATACTTTAAAAGAATCATCATAATCTTTTCATTGCAAAATTAAGATGGACCATATGAGCAAGAGAAGGGAGCAGTGACTACCAAATCTAAGTGCATTGCACTCCTTTTTAGTCCCAAATGGGGATTTATAAGAGTGACACACTCCCTAAGTTAACTTGACAAGTTGGAATTACGAGGGTCTTGCTTTTAGAAATTAGTTATTCATGTGGCTAATCATGACTCTCAGCTATACATTTTTGTAAAATGCAAGTCAGACATCAGAAACTTAGTAGTATCTGTTACAAAAACTATCCCATTCATGAACTTGTACTGTTTTACTGAAGTTAGAATTTAAGGATAGACGAATATTCAAGAACATGTGCAACAGATAGCAAAAATATGGAGTCAGATATTGAAAAACTGATATATTGGATCTAATGCTTTAAAGCCATTGTGTAACTTGTGCCTTTTCTCTTGTTCTCTTGGGAAATAAGGGAGTTCAGATTTCAAACAGTGTTATGTGCAAAATTTCTTAATATAGCTTTTTCTGGTTTGTGAAGAATGTGTGGTCTCATGTTTATCTATGGTCATATTCAAAGTATATTTCTTTTCCTGTTTAGGGATCAAATGATGACTTAGCAAAATCCTCTAGAGTTGCCAATCCTAAGGAATCTGAGGTACAACAACCATTAAAAAAGAAACCCTGCAGTCCACAGAAAACAATCTTATCTCAGCCAGCTCAGCCCAAAGAAGAACCAATCAAAATAACGTATACACAACTTGAACATAAGAATAAGCCTACAACACCAGGTAAGGAACTGTTCTGTGTTTTTTGTTTTTGTTAAAGCAATGAGTGATATTGTTGCTTTTTAACCATTACCTTAAGTTATATATAAAACTTATAAATATTTCCAACAAACTGTACTAATTTCCCCCCCCTCCAAACCCAGGTTTGAAACTATGATTAGCAGCTAATGCTGATCTACACCATGCAATGGTTAGCTGTCTATATCCTGGATTGAAGTTTCTTGTAACGTTCTAATAGAATTCTAACCAATCATCTTACTGATAATTTATAAGAACCTCCATAAATGTAGCTTCCATGTTCTCCTTGTTCTCTGAACATATTTTTAGTAGCTTCCACTGATACCATTTAAAACTCTGAACTAACTTTATAGATAAAGAATATTTCAAGTCTCTTTAAACCCAGGTGTCAGTTTTGGTGTTTTTTGAACCCTCTTTATGGCCTTCTGAAGGAAAGCTCTTGCAGATCTCAAGCCTCTAACAATCCCCACTCTACATAGAGATAAGCAGTGTTTTAGGTTTAGGTTTGCAGCACCCTTGACCATTAGAATCAAATGAATTGAATCCATTCCAGCTGGCTATTTATACCTCCAGATTGTTTTTTGTTTCCTGTGTCTTTTGAGTCTGTCCCAAATCAGTGTCTGTCCCAAATCAGTGTATGCAAACCATCCCAAAGATGGTACTTTTCTGGACCTGTTTGCAAGAATTACCCCCAATGTTTCTAGTTCCTCGAGGAGCTTCAGTAACCCTCCACTATGGAATATATAGAACACAATCACTGACCTGTAACTGTGCAGAATAACTTTTATGAAGGTTATACAATATTCTTCAAATATACTGCATGTGTTTCTAATACATGTCTCACTAGTCAAGTTGGGACATTAGTGATTTTTTTTTTCCAAATTATTTAATCCTATAGGTTCTTGCTACATATGGGCCAATGAGGTGTTGAGTTTAATGCTTTAACTTGTGTAAAGTATGAAACTTTCATTCCCTGGTTTCAAAAGATATATGTGTACAAAAGGAGTTGAGAGCTCTGCTAGTTTACTCTTAATATTGTGATACTAGAAGTTCAAGGAAGATTACTTGAAAATAATCATAAACAGCTACCTAGCTGATGAACTGTACAAAGAACAGAGCTGGAATGGCAAAACTGAACTTTATTCCTTTTTTACCCTAAGGTTGGTGCTGCAGTTTTGCTTCACTAAGCTTTTGTTTAAGACTCACTTAGTATGTTGGGTATAATAGTATAGATTGTCTGTCTGTTTTTAAGTAAGATAAATGCCAAACAGTACCTCCACTCTGTATTTCACAACTGTTTGAGTGCCACTTTGTACTAGGGATGTTAGCAAATGTTTATTTTTGTAAAAGTGTAACCACTGATAGGAGCAGCAAGGGGAGGAGGCATGTAGTCGTTAGGACTAACCCCTGAGTCCAGGCTTATTGCTTAATCGTGTAAACAATTACACACTAACATCCCTACTTTGTGCTGACTTGAGACTTGGTTCCTGGAGAGTAGGTGAGGAAGCAAGCTAATTTTAACTATCAGTTGAGAGACCTTTGTATTTGAAATGAGGTATTTCTTAACTTGGACATTACAGTGGTGCAAATCAATTAGTTTTCTATTTAGAGTGAGAGCAACAATTAAATGCTGTTCAAAAGATACTGTAGTAAGGTATGAAAAACACTGAGAGCTTTACAAGAAAGCAACTAATGTGTCGGTCTAAAAATTATTAAATGTTTGACTCAAGCTAAAAGTACTGCTTTTATAGGAGGGTCAGGAATCAAACCCTTTCTGGAACGTTTTGGAGAACGCTTTCAAGAGAATAGTACTCAAAGTCCTGTTACAACTACTACTGGATACAGAACGCCAATTATTACCCCAAACACAAAGACAATCCAGGAAAGACTTTTCAAACAGAATGAAACATCCTCCACTGCAAGTCTAGCACAACAGCTCAAGCAGGTATGATTTGTTAAATCGTAATAGCTTGTAACTTTCAGGAATATTCTCAATGCTCTACAATAGCGTAAGGAAGTAAAACCCCAACACACACAAAAAAACCTGCTTCATAATATATAGCTACAATCTACGGTGTGTTCTTGTATAACAATGATTTCTTCTCTCCTTAGGAACGTGAAAAAGAACTTGCTAGTATTCGTGTCCGGTTTGACAAGGGCAATCTGTGGAGCGCTGAGAGAGGTGAAAATTCAAAAAGCAGACATCCAGAAACGAAAATGGTAATATAGGACCATCTAAAAATTTTAAGGAAACCTAGCCTACATGGATAAGTGTGTAATAGTATGGATTATTTGCATTCTTTGTTTTGGGGATAAGCATATACAGGCCTAAACAGAACTCTTTATTCTAAGGGGCTCATATAATCCTTACTAGTGTACCTCCTTTCTCTCTAGCAACTTTTAAAAGGAAGGAGAAATCATGGTATGAGCTTGCAAGAGGCAGCAAGGGGAGAGGGGGAAGCAAGACCTGGTGCTGGGGGGAGCCATCTTAAAAAGCTGATTTTCTCCCTCCCCTCCCTCTCCCACCCCAATCCCAGCACCATCACTGCAGTGCTGCCTGCCCACCAGGCTCTTACTACATTTGAAACTGCAGAGCTGCAGTGGGGGTAGCTCCTGTATCTGGTGACTGCGCTTCTTCCTTTATTGACTAATTGTCTAGTAACAAACTACCCGCTTCTTAACATCTTTTGTAACCAATAAGCGTCAGCTTATCTGTTAACTAGTTACCCTGTTACACTCCTAATTAGAATTTAAGAGTTAAATATCTCAACATAAGTTTGTCTCTCTTGTCAATTTAAGTGCTATTTTTCAATATTAAACATTTGCCCTTCTGAATATTTTGTGGCTTTTTTTTAAAGCTCCCCTCTCCCTTCTGGAATCTGACTTGGGTCACTGCATCTGAGTAGGAGACTTATAGTTATGACTTTTATTTTTCTAGTCTTCAAAAGCACTGATATTTTTATAAAATTTGAGTAAATAATAAACTTGTGCCTCAAATGTTTGTTTAGTTTTTATAAACCACAAATAATAGTACATTCTGAGACTGACTCTAATGTACTCTTTTCTTATTCAGGAAAGCCAAGCTCAAGCTAGTTCAACACAGCTTGCTAGTTCAGATGCTATTTCTCTTGTAGCCACAGAAAAGACCACAGCATCTGAGAAATCTCCCTCAGAATCTTCAGGTGGGAACCACCCTTCTTCAGTTGATATGAATTGTATTGGTGTAAAGGAATTTATGTTAATACCTTGTTACAAATGTTTAGGATCTGCAGCAGTGGTGAGAACTGGGCAGAGTGTATAGGCATACTACTTCCCCATATGCTGCCAATGCATCTTGAGCCTGACCTGTAACACCATTACACTTCTGGACCTAGGCTTCTTTAACAGACTGTCAATCAGATAATGACATTTAAAATGATTGGCAGATGTGAACTAAAACTTCAAAAACTGACCTTAAAATGGTAATCTGACTTTTTTTGCCTCCACCCTCTATGTACACAATGTGTGTGAAGGCTGTTAACTACCCATGCTAGAATAATAAAACCAGGGAGCATAATGTTCCCCAGAGAGCCCAATTGGATGTTTACCTGTTCTGAGGAAGCCTCCCCTTTCCTTCAATGTTGTAGGTGTCTTGAAGCAGCCAAATATCCCTCCTCCCCTACAAAGGTAAAGAGGGCTCCTTGACTCTGGCAGGACCTGGGAGACTTATTGGATGGTCCACTACATACTTAATAGTGAGGGAATGAGACTTCAGAGGCCCTGCCCAATAGAGGGGAAAAAAGGACAGAGTCCAACTCTACACCTTTGTGTGTAGAGATGTTGTGCTGGTTCTGTTGTACCAAACATAGCCATTTAGGGCCAGTGTGCACTTTTATCCCCAGTTTCCTCTTGCAGTAGGCTGGCTACTGTATCTTCTTTGGGAGCAGAGTGGCAGTCTCAGTATTGCTCCCATCCAAGTGCATTTATCCATTCATGGACTAGGGGGGAAGAAGTTTTCCCCAGTGCTCCAAAAGATTTAAAATGTTTCAGATTAAAATTTAAAAACAAAACAAAGTACTATTGTGTGCACTATTCTTTGCTTCCACCTGTAGATTTATGAACATTTAAGAATTAGCAATTTCAGAATCAGATTGATCAGAACTATCCACTGCATACTTGAAGTAATTTTTATCTCTCTCAATTTCTTAGGCTCTTCAAAATGTGAAGAGACTGAAAAACTCAGTCCTCTGAAGAACAAAGGATTGCTAAAGAATCCACTAAAAGCAGGGTCTGTCTCAAAACTTGAGCGACTTACAGAGAAAGAAAATGGTTTGTAACACGTCATTGGCCATATATGAACTTGATTGCTATTTTGTCCAATACACGATCAATTTCCTGCAAGTTAAGTGGGCTTCTAATTCAGCAAATGTCTTGCTATTGAAGTATATATTTGAGATCAAAGTCATATGAACATTGCTTGGGTTTCTTTAATTTTATTAGTTTCAGAGGGGTAACCGAATTAGTCTGTAACAGGAAAAACTTAAACAAATATTCTGGTAGCACATTAAAGACTAACAAAACATGTAGATGGTATCGTGAGTTTTTGTGGGCTGTGCACAGCCTACGGAAGCTCATGATACCATCTACATGTTTCGTTAAAGTGCTACCAAACTATTGATTTTGTTTGGGTGTGTTTAATTTTTATTGTAGTTGGAAAATAGAAATATATAGTGATATTCAGATTTCAAAGCGACACAAGAAGGCTGATCTGTGAACTTATTTCAATGAGAAAACTGGCCCTAAAGTGATGAAACACTTGTAAGTTAAGATTTATTCAGATGCATTTTTAACTTATTTCATGAAGTTATAGAAATGAGACAGCACAGAACTACTTGAAACATATAATTGCCTCTTCTAGTAAAGACCAGTGCCCTTAACATACTACAGGATATGCTTGTAAATAATATTCTTGAGATCTCTGTGGGTTTTTTTTCCTCTTCAGATGCAGTATGTGAAGTTAAGATAAGTGTGGATGATGAAATGAATAGCTCAAAGGTAATAAATGATATTTTTGATGAAGTTCTTCAAGAGGATGGACCAGACATAGAAAAACTAAAAAAAGAAATGAGTATGAACCTGGAAGCTGGGAGTGATGATGATCAGGAAGAGTCACTGAATATTTCATCAATGTCTCTGCTAACTCCATTAGCAGAATCTGTTGGTGTTGTAAGTCCAGAGGTGAGAACAGATTTTAAATACAGGGATCCACAACTTGACTGTGTAGCAATATTACTATTTCACAAATGTTGGTATTCTGGATTGTGGTCCCTGAACAAATATGAATAAAATGTGAGACTTCATTAAATCAATGAAATACTTAAATTCTGTCCCTCCACATTCTCACCAAGTTTCCTCAAATTTTAAGCCAATGTGCCTACACACTTGTTAAATGGGATTGCATGCTATTTTAACCTCAATTCATAAAAGAAGCATCACGTGCCTTAGGCAGTACAGCTGTCCCTGCTTAGTCCATGACCTAATCACTGATGTGTATTTTTTTTTCACTGGGTGTGCTTCCTAGCTTGAACACTCTAAGCAGCTCTGTGAGTTCCTTGCAACAAACAGTGTCCGCTTGAAAGTTATACTCACTGCTGATACTGCAAAGGCAAGGGAAAAATAGTTATCCTCATCTTTCCCTCTCTATCTCAGTGTACTTTACCTGTGATGAAGCTGCTATACTACGTGGCCTCAAAGAGGTGTACCGCAGATTCTTTCTTGTTCCTAAGGTTTACATTGGAAGTGGCTGCACTTTAGTTACATAAGGCTTTCATTTCTTGACTTTCATTTGTTCGTTACAATCAACTCTGTAGAAATGGAACAGCTGAAAGATTATTAATATTACTCAGTATTTTCTAATGAAATCAAAGGGCTCTGCAGGTCAGAGTTGGAGATGAAACAAATAGCTTACATATTAGTTTTATCAGTGCTCGATACTGGACCCTGGATTTTTCCACACTTTGATCTAGTAAAATCACTGTGTAATGGAAGAACCATAACAAACACTTTAGGAAATCTTTTTGAGGTTCTAGTTTTCAATATAGTTGCACTTGAGTGTTTACTTAAATAATAAAAATGCATTTGATCAAATGCTAAAGAAAGATTAAAACCTATATAAGGGTTTAAAGTAAAACTAGAAAAGGAACTTTTTTGACTCACTAGTTCGAAGAACAGCAACTTGTCCTGTGGCACCCGAGAGTTATTGTTACTTCACATTATTAGTCAAATACTTTCCTTTCCTTGAAAATGATGATTCTATCCTGAAGTCTTTACTTAGCCAGAACTATTAATTGTGGTAGGACTGCTGGCTCATAAGGCTTGCTGACTCTCATTCTAGGCCATCAGTCAGAATCTAGTAAATTATTTCTGGTCCTAGATCCAATGCTGTCTGTTTGAATAAACTATAACAGAAGTAATTATGGAATAAGATACTTCATAATCTTCCCTTAAAATGTTTTAAGGGTTTGAGTTTCCTGCTAGCAAATCTGAACTTAATGTCAAGCTGACAGCATCACATTCTTAAAGATGAACTTTATGTTCAAGTTTCAACTCACCTGTCAAAGTACCTAAAGGGAGAGCAAGGAACAATCCATTTATCTGTCACTCCATTTATCTGTCACTGCAAATACTCTTAGGATAAACAAAGTACAATTTAAATAGTTCTTCTGACATTTATGGAAATGTAAATATAGGTTCGGGGTTGCTTACTCAGAGGAAATGCGTGGGAAGAGTAAACAAGAGTGGAGAGAGAAAATGGGGATGGAGGGAGCGCAGAATAAGCCACACTTAACTGGCCAGTTATTTATGATGCATAACTTTTTCTTCTCCCTCCAGGTTTTTGCTTCCCCTAGTAGGTCAGTTGCTGAGAGCAGCAGTGTAAGTGATGAAAGTCCAAAGTCTGGCAAATTCCAAAGGACACGGTTCCCTAGAGCAGAATCTGGGGATAGTATTGGCTCCTTGTCAGAAGACCACAACCTTCTGTATAGGTAATACGTTTTTAGACGGTTTAGTTGAACCTTAAACACACAAATCAAGTCACTGTGGTAGTTTTTGGCTATATTAAACTGGCTCTCTCCTGGAGAGAGAAAGGGCTTTTAAAAGCTTCAGTCTGTCTTTTGGCCCCAACAACCGATTATTTCAGTGATGTAGCTGTAACAGAGTCATCAAGAATTTATCTGTTTATTTCATGGAGCTTAAGGCCAGGGTGGGAAACCTGGGGCCCGGATGCAGCCCCTGTCTTGCCTGGATCTGGCCCCTAAGGCTAAGGGCTCCCCACAGCATTAGGGAGCCTTCACTGGCACTCTAGCCCCATCACCATGTCTTTGTGGGGCTGGAGGACACAACTACTAGCCTGGGCTATGGATGTTAAAATACGATTAGGCAGATAATCGCATAGTCAATACAAATTGTATCAACTATACAATTAGTTGATTAGTGCTGCTCTGCAGCGCCTCAGGAGGTAGCTCCAGGAGCCAGCTCTGGAGCCACCCGTGCTGCTGCTCTGCATTTTAAATGTAGTAAGAATTACTGTGCTTTTGCTATATTTAAAATGCAGAGGCGCAGCGATCTGCATGAGCCAGGACTGCTTGGTCCCAGCTCGTGCTGAGTCCAGCAGCCCCTGTTGGCAACAGACGGTCCAGACCAGCCCCTGTTCCTGGCAGCCGGGACTGGCCACGGACAGGGGCCGCTGCCCGAGCAGCACCTGTCCACGGCCAATCCTGGTTGCTGCGAATCGGGGCTGCTCAGTGGCAACAGTCCCTGTCCAAGGGGGACCTAGCTCCCTACTGGGACCCCTGTGGATAGGGGCTGCTTCCCAGCAGCATCCCTTATTTCTCCCCCCTCTCCCCGCCCGAATCCGCTGCCTCTGATAGAGGCGCCTGGGGGCAGGTGCACCTCAGAGACGGTGCTGTGGGGAACTGGCTTTTAAGCCACAGAGAAGATGGGATGAGCGGGGACTGCTTGAGCCCGGGAGGGCTCTTGTACATTTCAGAAGGAGAAGCACCGGCAGTGGGAACCAGTGCCAGCGGAGACTAAAGCAGTCCCTGCTTGCTTGTACCATTTCCCTGCTGTCTCCTCTGCCTACCCCCCGCCCGCACGCTCTGTCTGTCTCTCTTGCTCCTCTCAGAGATGGTGCAGGGGACTAATTTTTCTGTGGGTCAGTAGCCCCAACCTAAAAAAGGTTTTCTTCTTAAACCCGGGGGGCGGGGGAAAGGAGTATATTACAGGACATTACATTCACCTAGGTAGTTCTGTGTTAAGCCTCTAGTTAGACCAAAACATTCATTCCTCAGATGGATCCTGCCATGTTAGTGACTGGATATAGTGAGATGCTGAGAATCCCAGCTGGCAGTTAAACCTTCTCAAAAAGCCTCATCTCTCTATCTTTATTTAAAATTTGAAATAGTCACCTTTTTATATTTCCATAATTTTAATATGGACAGGAAATGGCAATAAAATTACTGCCATCTAAATATATTTACTTGGACTTTCTTCACAATGTTTGGGCCAGAGCATCAGTGGTGGACAAGTCCTAAAAATGTTAGATACATTTAACACTTGATTTCTTTTTTAAAAAGCATTGATGCTTATCGATCTGAAAGATTTAAAGAAACAGATCGCCCTTCAATAAGACAAGTGATTGTTCGCAAAGAAGATGTTACTTCTAAGCTAGAAGTAAAAAGAAATGGAACTTCTGATCAAGTTAATATTAAACAGAAAATGCAGGTATGTGTAACTTTTAACCCCTCCCCCCCACACACACTCCCCCCCCCCTTTTGCTTTTGTGTGTGTGTGGTCGTTTTGTTGTCTACGGCACATGCAGATGTTGCTTAGAAAGATAAAATTAAGGTAGTTCATCCAGTTTTAGTACTCTTACATTAGAGACAGGACAAATGTACCATAATTTGATACAAGTTGAACTTTTGTGGGCCAGGACTCTGATCTAATAACATCTGTAGTCCAGCAGGACCACAGAACCCCAGCGGCAGAGGTTGTCGGTGGCTAGGCATGAAGCTCATGAGCTGGCGAGGCCAGTGCTGTCTTCATCTTCCACCTGTTATGATAAACTCCCTTGTCTGGGACCGTCCAGGTCCCGAGGGGGCTGGACCAGGAAGGTCCAACCAGGACATGGTTCTGTATAATTTAATGGAGGCTTCTCTTGTATGAGGCCATTAGTTGAGGGCCAAAATCTGAAGAGAGAATGGCTATTCAATTCGGCACTCTTGCTTGATCTAACTAATCTACAATACTGCCATTTCCAGGACTGTGCATTAATTGTAACTACAACTTTAATGAGGCTATGTTCTAACCTTCCTCTTACCTACAAATCCTTATGTATCTCCACCATGTATCTCTAACTTTTGATAAGCATCCCTATTGAAGGTAGTAAATCCTTTTAGAACAATTTCCACCTGTTGCCTTGTCACCTCTGTACTATTGTCAGCAATGGTGGAAGGAAAACAAAGCCCTTGTGAGTAAAACTTCATACTGCAAGCTTTATAGTTTATCTTTATAGTTTATCTAGCTATGTTTCTACAGGTCAGAAGGACATAATTAAAGAATGCCATTCTAAAGATTTTCTTTTTGGATACTAGATCTGAGTAACTTCGCTATTTTTATTTTTTACTATGGGACTGTATTAGGAGCTGAATAATGAAATCAGTTTGCAACAGACTGTGATTCATCAGGCCAGCCAAGCTCTGAACTGCTGTATTGATGAGGAACACGGAAAAGGATCACAAGAAGAAGCCGAAGCAGAGAGACTTCTCCTTCTTGCAAGTGTGTCTTAAAGAATAGCTGATATTCAGACTAATACTTGACATTATAAGATAATTTCTGACCTGGTTGATTTGTCAGAATAAAAACCCAGGTCAGATGAATCTCTATTACAGATTAGTTCATAATCCCTCTTCTGAAAGAAGAGATTTAAATGGATAAAGATCACTTGCCCCTTCATTTCCCCCACACCTTTTTATCAATCTACTAGTCTTACGTAATTTCCTCTTGCATATTGACTCTGTTCTCTGAATCACTTCTTAATGTTACTTGATTAAGGAATTGTTAGCAAGGATACTTGGGTACAATCATTCTATGCTTCTGGTGGTCTTTCCTGTTCAATTTAAATTCTCTCTTTTTACAGCTGAAAAGAGAAAAGCTTTGCTTGAAGAGCTCAACAAATTGAAGAATGAGGGACCTCAGGGCAAAAAAAATAAAGTGCCATCCACAACTGGTGAATTTGCTCCATCCAGGGGATCTGTTACTCTTTCAGAAATGCGATTACCTCTGAAAGCAGACTTTGTCTGCAGTACAGTTCAGAAACTAGGTAAGATGCTTAACTGTAACACAAATATTTTTAGCCTGGTTTGCATGCCTTTTAATCCATGATGGCTTTTGGTGTTTCCCACATATGTCATGGGGTTTGAGAAGGAATTGTAGGGACTGTAATACAAATCTGGGTTTAGCTAAACTTTATTCTAAGTTCTTTTGACAGCACTTGTCATAGTATCTGAGCACCTTCTAGGAAACAGCCTAAGTGCCTTGAAGTAGGAAGGAAAAATGAAACCTGTGGCTTATTTCAGATATTGCAGTCCTCATTGCATCATCTGTTCTCACTTTCGTATTTTAGAAACTAAAGTAAGTGCCTAAAAATCGAAAACAAATGTCCTATGTATTCTCATCCAGGGGAATGTCTATACTACGTGGTAAACCAAGGTTTATGGGACCCATGCCTGCAGACTAGTTTTTTGGGGGTTTTTTTCCCCCAAGACTTCTCTTGAGCATCCATGCTGTGTTGCTACATGAGCCTCATATGATTGCTAACCTATCCATATTGTGCTGTACAAATATAATTCAAGACATTGATTCTGGGGATATAGTTAAAAGAAACCTGGAATACAGTTAGTTGCAACTGCTTTAGGGTTAGCTTGGTTCTTGGTGTAGTGTGGGAGAACTTGTCCATTCATCCCTCAGAACTTGACTAGAAGTGCTCTTAGCTCATCAACATCTTCAAGTGAGCCATATTGAGGTCAGCAACATGGATCCAGCACTGATGGAAGAACTTCTGCTTGCACTTTCTTTACTACTTCAGCAAGTAGGTAGAGGATTTGTGAAATGCTAGTGGACATTCCAGAAGTGGTATTTTGTCCTTTTGTAGGATCTTCTAAGATGGGGGGATAAAGACTGAAGCCAGGGCCTTAAGAAGCATAAGATTTACTCAAGGTGTGCTACAGTGGCCGCTATTGAGACCTCCTAAGACCACAACTCTTTTCTTTTTGGGTTGTGGGGAAAATATTCCTAAGGTCAGGGAACAAAAATCCGAATCCCTCTTCATAATTGAGGGATTTTATTATTAAGGAAAAGCTATAATACTTATAAGAAATAAGTACTCCAAAATCCCTGCTTTCATTCATTTTAGAGGAAATTTCTGTTTCCTGTTAGAGAACCTCAAATGTGAAAAACTCAGTGGCTACACATTCACCTAAATAAACTTTAACCCTAATGTGACCAGTGTAATTCCTGCAAGCGGGAATTAACTGGATGACCGTATATATTCAAATTTTCTTCAGAAGTAGGTGGAAAGGGTAATGAGCTAAGGAGCAAAGAAAGCTAATGTGAAGGCTGGGTAGTCAAGATGTTAAGAGAACAGCAGCAGTGGCCTGAAGAACCAAAATGATTAAATGCTGAATTTTGACTAAGATCCCTTCTGAGGCTTGGCCATCCACTAGGTCGACACGTGCTCTAGCACAGTGTTTCTCAACCTTTTTTTTATAAAGTACCCCTTTAAAAAAAATTAGAAGTACCCCCAGTACCTACAGTTTTCATACAGACAAAATGTTTTTCTACCATTGCAACACATTTGTTTAAACATCTTAATTGTAGCTGGGTGGGTGGTGAAATGTTGGGGTGTAAAAGTATAAAAATAATAAAGCGCTATAACATTTAAAACAAATTCAGTTTTCTCCAAATTTCAGTTGTGTTGACATTACCCCACAGACTTCTTGAGTACTCGTAAGGATACTCGTACCACTGGTTGAAAAACACTGATGTTTAGGGGAGGGATAGCTCAGTGGTTTGAGCATTGGCCTGCTAAACCCAGGGTTGTGAGTTCAGTCTTTGCAGAGGCCATTTAGGGATTGGGGCAAAAATTCATCAGGGATGGTACTTGGTCCTTCTGAGAAGGCAGGGAACTGGACTCGATGACCTTTCAAGGTCCCTTCCAGTTCTAGGAGATAGGCAATCTCCATTATTTATTTTATTTATTTAGATGTAGCATGTCGTAAATCATGATCTGGGTAGTTCAGCTTGGTCTTACCCTATTTTAACTGCTGAAGCCTGGAAGCTGAACTACTTGAACATAGTGGAGAAGAATTTAATCACTGTTTAATTTGTCAAGTATTTTGACTGAGCCATAGTAAAAATGTCTGTGGCAGGTGGGAATGTAGGGTATTTCATGGTCATGAATATTCTAACTGTAGAATTTGGTGTCCTTGTTTCACTGGATGTCCGGACCATACTTAGTGATTGTTTCAAATCTATCCACAGAAGCAGCAAACTACTACTACATAATATTGTTGAGATCAGGAGCGGAAAACATGATAGCAACTCCTGTAGCAAGCATTGCAAATTCCCTAAATGGAGATGCTCTTACTTTTACTACGACATTTACTTTGTAAGTATAAAGAAACAGTTGTGGAACTCAGATAATTGTCTTTTGAAGAAGAGTGTTACCAGAGAATCTTGTCTAAATTAATTTTAAATATTAGCATTTCTGTAAAGATATTGTTTTCTCCAAACATTCAGAGATCTTGTGACATGAATATTTCTTCTAGAAATATTTGGAACAAACTTTTTTTCCCCCACAAAGAACAGTTTAATCAATGGATAGTTTTTCTCCTGTCATTAGCTCTTGGACATCTGCAATGGCTGGTGCGTCTCTCTTTTCCTGAGAGAGAGTTTTCTGTTGGCTGTAATGATTGGTATTATATGTAGCAATTTTTGTTGTCTCTGAAAACACTGTCTTGAATTAAATTTTAACCAAATACCTGTCAAATGTTAAAGGAATGGCTGATTTAATGGTATTTACAATAATGTGGGTTTAGTTGGCTAATTTTAGGATGGAATACACACTACTTTACTTTAAATCATTCCAAGTATACTTTTTAAATTTTTGTGGTTAAACATCTTCTCTATTCATGCACAAACCAACAAAGAGATGCTGCTTGAGAACTTCAGGGGTCTTTTTAAGCATGTTTGTTTTTGTATATTTTGATGTGTGAATTTAAAGGTTTATTTCACTGATTGTATAAGTTTAACTTTTTTTAATCTGTCATTAAATAACTGCTTGATCTCCCTCTCCCATAATTTCCTTTAATCATTTTTTCAATTTAAGTTTTCAAAGTCAATATTTTTCTAAATTATTTAAAAAAATGCTGCCAATGTTAAGTGAATATAGTCCAAAATTTTAAACCTTGGAAACTAAGCCATGGAAGGCACTAAAACCTATTTTGAGGTGATGGAAACAAGTAATTACATGTTCACCCTCTCTCTAATCTGGCACCCTTGGGACTTAACCAATACTGAACCACAGAATTTGCCAAACCACCGGGAGGTCGATATTGTCTAGCTCAGGGGTCGGGAACATAAAGCCCAGGGCTTGCCTGGATACAGCCATTGGGTCTCTACCTCCAACATTGAGGAGTCTGTGCTAGTGCTCAGCTCCCCGCCTCCCTCCACTGCTACCCCAGTGTGCCATTGTGGGGCTGGAGCACACACAATCTACTAGCCTGGGCCCCTAAGGGCTCTGGTGTATGAGGGAAATGTAGGGAGTGTCTTTCTCCTCAGTGAGGGGTTAGGGGGGGTGTGTGTGTCGGGGGGGGGGGGGGCCGGCCCCCCATGACCAAAAAAAAGATTCCTTACCCTGATCTAACAGCATTATCAACACTTCCACTGCTTACTAGGCCCCGAGAAGACTATTATGGGTAAATTACAGCTAAATAACAGCACAGAGCCAGGACTAGTGGCTGTAAACCAACTTTATGGGACCATGGAAAATTTAGCCATACCCATGATAAATGGAAATCTGGCTGTTTAAAATCATGCCAGACTACAAGTTTTGCCAGACTAGAGAATTCTGGATTAGAGATTCAATTTGTATTCTGAAAAGTAATAGTCTGTGTACATTTTGGTCTGGAGAACAGAGTCTATATTCTGGACACACTCTTGTCCTTCTGTAGATAGGTTGTATTCACTCCTTTCAAACAGTGGCCCAAAGTTGTGTAATTTTGATATGTTCAATCCTCTTGAACATCTTCTGTAATTTTGATATGTTCAATCCTCAATCTACTTAATAAGATTGGGGTTTAAATTTAGAGTGCATTGCATCACTTTCATGTATTTCAGACCACTGAAAAGAGATTTCCAATGCACCGAAGTTTTCGGAATGTGAAGAGATATCAACTTGTTTAACATCACTATCTCTTTTTCCGTTGAGGGAAAAATGATCAAGGTTCTACTGTATGTCGCTTGCTTGTGACTTTTTTTTTTAAAATAATCTCTAAATAGGTGTAAGTCTCATATATTCTTATGATTTATGAGCTGGAATACTGTTTCTTGAAAAAAGGTTAATGGTAGTGATGGAAAAGACCTGCGAGATAAGCCTGCCTGCCTGGAAGGTCAGGCTATGGTGTACTGAAAGAATAATGTTCTTCGATTCACACCCAAGTTTTTGACTACTGTACATGTTGCTTTCTGAATAACTAGTTATGGTAAACTACTGTTTTGAAAAGAATGTCTTGAACACTACTGTCATTAGTAATGCTTTTAACTGTAGTCTACCCTCTTTATTTTAGGCAAGATGTGTCCAATGACTTTGAAATAAATGTTGAAGTTTACCATTTGGTATGTATTTGTCTTTTTATTAAAAGGCCACTTGGGGGAGCAAGGCACTCTACATTTCTCAAATAATTCTGTCTTACAGGTACAGAAGAAAGAAGGCACAGGCAATGATAAGAGGAAAAAGGCAAGCAAATCAAAGGTAAACACCAGAATTGATGCACTAACTCAATAAAATACATGAGAACCAATATAAAACCAGGAGCAAAGAACTGAGCTACAGCCTGTTTTGTAATTCTGAAAATATTTAAAGAGGATGCAATTTCCTCTTACTGACTTAGCTACTGGGAACTCTTCTTCATTTAAAAAAAATACAACCCCTTTACCTTTTCTTTTGATCAGTCTGAGTATCTTATACTGTTGAAAGACTCCAAATATAACTGAGACCTAGCCATCTTCAAATGGCGGATAACTGTATCTGGTCTAAAAGGTTGGGTGTTTTTTTCTCTTCTAGTGGTTTTTGCAAAGTGGCATGCTTTCTAAGCTTTCATTTAATATATGACACTTTTTTGCCTCTTGGGTCATGGTTCTTAGTGTGCTCATTCCCTTCTCTACCTCTTCATGCTCCCAAACGTGCAAACTGTATCAGTGTCCTGTGCTATAGCCCAATGGGTAGAGCTCTGCAAATCTGCAGATAATCAGCTTTACATCTGCATCTGTGGTCCTCTTCATTTGTATTACAAAAAAAAATGTAGATCCACATGCATCTGCACAGGCTCTGTTGATCGGTCAATGGAAATGTATTCAGTGCCTAAAACTAGAAAAATCCCAATGTAGTTATTGGGATAAAGTAAGCAAAGGGTATTTTAATGAGTGTCATTCTTAAAAGTATATTGCAGCCAGAAATATCTGCTTATTCAAACATTGTAACTTATTGATCTCTCTTGGTTTCTTCTGGAGCTTACTGGTAAAATGGGTCACCACTAGAGTAGACACAGTATGATGGTAGATTCTGTATTTCTGGTTTCACCTGTTCTGGCAAGCCTTCACTCCTACTCTCTTCTCTTCTCTTCTCCTCCCTCCCCCCTCCACTCCCTATCCACCAGTTCTCTTAACAAGAGGCCAGCTTCTCATAACTGGGACAAAACAATTTTGCCCCAGTCTTAATTTATATTATAATGGTCCCAAGATGCCTCAGTAAGAGTTGGAGTTGTATTGTACAAGTGCAGCACAAGAGAGCTGCTACTCTGAAGAATTTAAATCTAACAAGTCAGGAAACAAGTAGGCATACTAAACAATTGAGGGAAGATGAGACCCATAATAACATTCAGCCAGAGGTGTACAATTAAAAGGTTTTGAGTCTAACTTTCAGATACCAATGAAATATTGAAATCCTTAATCAGTTGACCTTTTGCGGCAGGCATGACAGTAGAGCAGGTTGTAAAATGGGATTTGTAGTACAAGATAATGACATCACAGTGCTTTGGAAAGTGGTGTTTTGCACAAGTGGCCATCTGGAAGAAAGTGCAAGTGAATTTGTGGAAAATATAAATGACTTCTGAAAGCTGGCAAGTATTGTTTTGTGGATGATTAGAGCAGCTAAATTGGTTAGTCCTCATCTCTTGAAAGGAGGGACTGTTAAGTCCTTTTTCTCCCAGAAATCAGAAATTGCTCAGCTCCTGCAAATGTTAGCCTTCGTATATCAAAGGATCGTGGATTCCCTTTTTTCCTCAGGCTTCCACTTCTTCCCCATTTAAAGATAATCTAGAGACCTCATGTGCACTTTCTTCCCCCTGGCTACTCTCTGGTAGTCTTCACCTGTGCACACCTTCAACCTTGGAGCTGAAGTATATCCATTTAGAGCACCCAATAGTGCTGCGGCTCCTTAGTTTTGACTTTTGCTGAGGACACTGGTTACAGCAGGGAGAGAAGAATGGTCACCATGGGTGCAGCTACACAGCAGCGTTATTTCAGAGTAACAGCTGTTCTTCTGAAATAACAATGCGAGCGTCAATACAGCAATTCAGTTATTTTGAAGTAATGGACAGCTTATTCCAACTTCTGTAAACGTCATTCTATGGGGAATAATGCCTATTCTGAAATAGTTATTTCAAAATAGCTGTAGTACAGATACTCCACTGCTGCTATTTCGAAATAGCTCCTCCCCAGGGCTATTCAAAATAATTACTCCCTAGCGCTTCCTGGGGCTCTAAATGGAGGTAGCGTGTCCACTTAATTTCGAGACTTCTCTGTAGTGTGGATGTTCTATTTTGAAATAAGCTATTTTGGAGTATTTCTTCCAGAATAGCTTCTTCTGAAATAAGTGTGCAGTGTAGATGTACCCCTTAGGACCACCATCTTCCTTTTCAAGATCAGTGTTTGCTCATTAAAAGTTTTTCATTGTGCTTATAACTCATTAACACCATTTGAGTGCCTTGCTTCTTGCCGCAAACTACTTGAGTGGAAGGGAATGTCTACTCTTTTCTCCTTCTAGCCAATGCAAGCCTCAGATTCTGAAATCCTTGCTCCAGCTTCCTCCCATGTACTGTAGTCTATGGGGGTGCTTCAAAGTTTGCAAGGAACCTTCTTAGAAGCACAGCATGACTTGTTAGCTGGACTTGCAGTAGAACCAGGAAAATTCAGTAGGTACTTTTCAGAGCTTGATTAAAGTTTGCTGGAGTCAAGTCATCTAGAAAAGTTTGTCAGTTCTAGCCTCTTGGCAATAGTATATTATCTGCTTTTGATGACTAATTATCTGTCTTTTTCCATCAGCTGCAAGGTTGGATTTCTTTTGCTCTTAATTACTATTCATGTATTTCTGTCTTGCACTACGTGGAGTTTTGTTCAGTTTGTTAATTTGACAAGTTATAACTTGACACTTGTCAATACAAGCAGTCCCCGAGTTACGCGGATCCGACTTATGTCCCGCCACCTGCGTCCTCCGGGGCGAGAAAAGCTGCTCTGCGTCTCCCTGGTCTGCTGGGGGTGGGGAGGGGAGGGAGAAGCCAGAGCAG